TCAGCTCTTCCACATACTAATTTCAACAAAGCTGGACGCTGTTGAGAAAAGAGAAATCCAAAATCACTTGTACACAATCACACTTGTACAATTCATAAGCATAACACGTGACTATGTAGAGTAAACATTTTCGTGACCGTTGGAGACATGAACAAACGATATTCTTCCGTCTTTTTTAGCAAATCAAAGTTATAAGGCATAAGCTTACCTATTCAAACAATACAGAATAGTTCCGCGCACTGCAAGAATGTATAGAGGAAGATCGAGAGTACGAACAATTCCACAATCTCCAGCGGTGAGCGCGTATCTGGAGCAGTAGCACATTGCATATAAAAAGCTTAGATTATGAGGGCGTCCTACTTGATGTGATTGCTGGTGGTGTAGAGGAAAATGCCTTCATCATCCCAAGCTCCACTCTTCACGCGCGTAGATTCTTGTTGAGTGCACAACACCTGCAACAGATCAGTTGGTATAAAAAGCTAATTACGAATCTATTGCTGAAAAATGTATAGTCAATAAAGTAGTTTTAGAGCTCTAGAATGCTATACCCTATTTAATATTCTAGAAAGAGTAGCGTCTTGCTATATGTCACTAACAACGCACCTCGAGCTTTCGATTGATGAGTGTGAGCGTATGCTTCGAAAGCAATGCTGCATACTCCATGTTCTTTGACCAGATGACATATCGTACCTGAAGGGCACATTCCATGAGGCGAGAAAAAAATCCGTAATGATATTACTTTGCTAGCTTTCACATGTGCCATGACTCGTTTTTGTTGAACATCAAACAACTGCAGGCCCTCCTCATTCCTCAACAAAAGAACGCCAGTTCCTGCGTAGAATAGGTCATCGACGGGTACATTCATTTCCACTTTACGAACTTCCTTGTTGGAGAGGTCGCGCAAGGAGATCTGCAAAAACATTGAGTGTGCTATACTGTAGAACGAAAAAGCCATCCTAACTTACTTGCTGATTCTTATCGAGTACAGCGTAACGGTTGCGCGCAACCCATACAGCAGCGATTCCAGGAGAGCGATTAACTGGCGCTTCTGTATTTCCATCAGAATCTCTTGCGACCTGCACGATAAATCGCTTATTTACTAGAGTTAAT